TGAGGTAAATGTAGTCCAGCGTACAATAACTCTCTTCCTATTCTATACGATGAAACACTAAATTTTACCATTATGTTTTAAAACAGTTTATTAAATAGTTTTAACAGACTCCTCTTTAGTGGGATATTAAGGACATCCTCTTTCGTGTGGTTCAAACAATGTACTTCGTCAAAAGTGAATTGGAAAAAAAAAACCCTACAAATTTAAAAGGAAAATAGAAAGGTAAAAGCTAAGGAAATTTAAAAGTGAGTACTTATTGCCAAAATTTTAACTACACTTTTACAGGAAATGTTGATAAAAGAACATTCACAGAGAAATCATCACATTTTTAATCTTAATTTTTAAGAGGCATGGAGACAAATGTACAGTCGTTTAAGATACCAGTATTTTTGCAGTTTTATTGTTATTTTTTATTCTTATTTATAAGTAATACCATTGAAAAATATTCTGGTTTTACGCATAAAACAAAAATAAACTTATAATCCAGGTATCATTATCTCATAAAATATTAAATAAAAAGGTACTATTAATTTGAATGAATGTATTACTTTTAATTAATGTCTTAAGACTAGTTTTGTGCATTATGTGCACTCTAAGAAACTCAAGAACTCTCTTATTTATGAAATATAATGAAGTAGTGAATATCAATGGAGATCTAAGTAAAGTAAATTTTACTGAGAGATTATTGAGAAAACCACACTTATTTCACAATAAATCATTTGTAAAAATAAAATTACTTCCTTATTGTCACAATTATTGTAATTTCGTAAACATTATCAAATTCTGCAAATTTTTTAGAGATCTATTTCCTTTCCTTTTTAAAATAGAAACTTAGAAGAATATTACTCTGATACAAAGATATGATTTTAACATCAAATTTTACAGCAGTAATAGCAATATATTTTCTGATATTTGCTAGAGATTTAAAAAAGACAACAACATTAATGCTGATCTTATTGTTACAAATCGAAATAACATAAAAGATTCATTTGATACCGGCACGAATTCAATAAAAGTTCCATAACAATTTGAAGGGAGAAGCAATTTCAAACAACTCGGAGTTGTCAACTGACTTATTGGCACAGAATGGTTAGATTCAGAATAACAAGAGGTAATTCGATTTTATAACTCTGAAATTTGCCTCCGAGAAAAAATAAACGGAGGAAATTGAATAAAATAATGTATTGTTTATAAAGCATAAGTTAAACAGCCTCAACTTAGAAGACAAGCGTCTATAACAAGAAAACAAAATAAAGCGCGTAATCATTTAGATCTCAAGGAAAACTCTGCGAGCAAATATCATGGAAGTATTTGTCGGAATTTTTTGCTAACATCTCTTTTTCGTTAATGGTTCCATAAAATATTTAAGAAATTCAAATGATTCAGTTTTTGTGTGAGGGGTAATTTTGCACCGATAACTGTTACATTGGAAAAGAAGTAAAAGGTTCTTTTTTTGTTAACACATTTTTGTGTTCTTATTTTTCTTCTTTTTTTTAATTTTTCTTCTTTACAAATCTCCGTCCTTTCCCTGAATAGTAGTTTCAACTTTAATCTTAAACGGACTATAATAAAAACGAAGCACAGGTACTTATAGCTAATGTCCATATTTACCGCTTCAGCACGTCATAATAGAGCGAGAGGGTTTTGCCTCCCGATCCACTGGAGAAATTCTCCTGGAGAAAACGGGAAAAAGCCTTTTCGCGAGTGTGATTAGGAGAGATTAGCGCGCCCTGATGAGGGGGAGAGAATCACTTCAGAAGAAAACGAACTGGTCATTTGAACCCATTCTTTTTATAACCGCCTCTTTTTTCCTTCACTTTTTGCAAACTTCCATTCTAATCTTTAGTCAAGATTTCTTTCAATAAATAAATTCCTAAATGATATGGAAATAGGTGCTACCACTTATAGAAATAATACTGACAGGAATGCTTTACTTATTATACTATACTATATTATGCAATTTTTAATATTGCAAGACACTGTTATTGTTTTATTTTTTTTAAGAAAAATATTAATCGGCAATTAAGACATTGATTAATTTGAGAGGTTCATGTGATATCATATTAATTTAACTAATACTAAACTATAGCAATAAATATGTACTGATTCAATGTATTACTATAGCCAAATACTAAAGCATATATTATTTATATATTGTCAATAAGCAGTCAATAGTAGCAATTAAAATGTAATATTCGTAAGAATTTTTAAAAGACTTAAATCTATTTAAATGGAAAACTAATATGACAGTCAAAGCCTTTCAAATGGCAGAAACAATAAGTTGTATTTGACACATGCATAACAATAATTTGTATTTAGGGCAAATAACAATTGTATCGTTTTCAATTACTAAAAAAATAGTATCAGTAACTAATATTTTTTACTAGTTGATACCAGAGATTATTTTAAAAGCTAGGTACTAAGGCCGGGATAGCCTGGTCTATAGGGCGCTGGGCCAATGTCCAAGAGTTTGTGGGTTCGATCCCCGCAGTCCAAAGACTCCCCTTGTAGTAAATGGTGACTGATGCACGTAAAATCTGTAGAATCGCAAAGTCCTCCATGTTCCCATAACAAATCAATACCTCTGGAGGTACTGATCCAGGCGTTTCCTTGTCTTCTGGAATGGTTCAAAATTACAAGGCTACGGATTTGAACATTAGTAGACGAAAACCCAAAAATTGAGTCTTCTGTTCAACGACGGATATAAAAAAAAGCTAGGTACTCTTAAGCTTGCACAAATAATAATATGAATTCCGATAACTATTTGTTAGCATATTTTTCAACAATTTGACTAAACAAAAGATTTTTTAAAAACAAAATTCTCACAAACTGCAATTGTAATACTCTATTAATCTCTAATTAAATCACGATTTTATTGAGAGACAAAATAATCACACCTGAGAAAACTTTTAAATGATAAAGAAATTTTTATCTCATATGTGTGGATTTTTTATTAGGCAAATCACTATATTTTGTAACATTCTTTCAAAACTACTACACATTTATAAAGTACTACTATAATTAAGTATTAAATATTCAGAAAGCTTTATATTTAGTTTAATTTGTTACCGTGGTATATAACGAATTATTGGTATTTATAATAACTAACAAACTAATTAAATGTGTCTCAAACTTTGGGTAATTACTTAATTTATGATGTAAATTAGAAACAAAAATACCATAATAGACTCAATAATAGCCATATCCGTCTAATTTTCAAATTCTCACGAGTAAGAAAAAATTTTCTTTTAAAAGACAAATGAAGCTGGTACTGTAACCAAGAGAAGCCGAATGAAACGCTTAAACAATTACAAGTACCTCATTTGGATAAATATTTATTTACAGATGAACACAGTATACTTAAAAACATGCATCTTTACTTCAGAAAATCATCGTATTTCCTATTTAAATGAAAAATGATCACATAAATTTATTGTAACATCTTAATATGCTTTTAATATCAATAAAAAGCTGCAAATTTACATAAGTTACCTTTATGAATAGAATTTTATTTGATTGTACTATAAAGGATTTTGAATAAACTTGATTCACGGAAATTAAAGATAATAAAGAAGAGTTTCAAGAATTTTGTTTTCTCCAGTGACAGAATCACTCTAAATCTAACGTACATGCAACCGTGCGGGTGCATATGATTAGCTATTTGAGGATGAGTCGCCATTGGTCACTCTTGCAGATTAGCGATCGATGAATATAAACAAGAGGGGACAGCCATCCTTTGCAAAGGCAGCAGAAAAATCTTGATTTCTTCATTTACAGAAAGATACAATTTGGTAGACATGATAAGCTTGTATGGGAATATAAAAATATTTTTTTCTTTTGTAATTTTAAATGAATGGAATATTAAGGAAAGAATTCGAATAATAGTCATCACTTGTCAACAGGATATTATTCTAATATTTATTAATAACAAATAAATAATTAGAATTTTATAAGTAAATATAGATTTTAATTATTGCCTCATCTTTTTACGAAAAACAAATTTTGTGAAAAAGTGTCGTAGTTTCGATTTCAAATAGCAGCAAATACAATTAAAATATATCTGTGCCAACAGATCATAAAATAAGATTCGTTTAAAAATAAAATTTGTAAAATACAATGAGTTATAGTTTTTTGAATTGGCGGTTTGCTTTAAACATTTTCCTTTCTTTTAAAGGTTTTTTGTTGAATAAGCACTGAAACTACTACAGTTTATTTTCACAAATATTATTAAAGATTGATGTTATATAAATCTATTTTATATCTACACATATTTAAATGTAATAGGATTTGGATAAAAAAAATAAATTTGAAGAAGAATTTAGCTTAGAATTAGTGTTTGAAAAAGTTTTTTAATAGTGAAAAAAAATTGATTTGAAAACTGTGATCGTTTTTAATAGTTGTTTTTTTAAATTGTATCAATTCGTTTCTTTAGTTACTTAAAATTAGAATAATTTTCAAAATGGAGAAAATATGATTTGAATATGAAAATGTAAGTTTGACGTGTTAAAAGAGTTAAGAAAATACCTTAGTTCAAAATTTTGTGCCAAACATGTATAAGCAAATCCATCGTTCGTAATTTCTCACAACTAGAGTGACAGCAAATGTTTTTAAAATGCATTTGAATAGCAATTATTTCTTTATTTATTCTGTGTACTATATTCGCATATTTAAATGTTAGGCACGTTATAAAAAATTAACTACGCACATAAGTGGGTTAAATATGTTACGGAAACATATACACGTAAGACACTTGAAATAAAGACTTAAAGTGATTTTTATTGAAATAGCACAAGACAATGTTGTACAAGGAAGGGGCACTTGAGTGACTACAAGTTGAACCTAAACCATGAACTACAAACACATGGTGCGCGATCAACAACGAGTTTATTTATTTATTCTTTTTGTGTCTTTGTTTATACAAGAATAATTAAATTATTAAAATTTTTGTTTCTGGAAAAGCAGTTGAATGAGATCACAAATGTTCAATTAAATAAAATGAGTTGCAACAAACCAATTATTTATTATAAACAAAGGTTATTCACAAAGAAGTATATGGATATACAGAAATGAGAGAAAACTGAAATTTATCCTTTCGTACAAGAATTCATAAAAAGGTAATGAATTAATACAGTTGATTATGCAAATTATTTCAAGTCGTCTACATACATATTGTAAAGATATGGACAATAAAGTGATAATCTGTAGAATGTCAGTAACATAAATTTAAGACAAAATATACAAGAAATAATGTTTTAAAACAAAGAATGAGATAAAGGGTCAATATATTAGCGATGCCTTAAAATTAATATTATTGAAAATACTTAAAGTATTTCGCATTACATTGAAGACACCAAATAACACCATATATCGATAATTGGAAATGATAAAGATCGCGCAAGATGTATGGAAACTCTATGCAACTCGCTATGTGATTCATAAAACGCTTTATTTCTTTTAAAAAAATGGCATATGAGGTTTTATTTTGTTATGTGCGCTGTATAAGAGGCAATGATAAACTGAGGTTAATTAAATTTCTTTATTTTACTTTAAAGTGAATGCCAGGTACAATTTTTAAGAATAACATTTCCCTGAATATCACCATGGTAGATGATTTCGTTGATACGCATCAAATTAAAAGCAAATATTGATTTGATCGCTGTTCCAATATCTCATCACTAAGCCCTGTTAACTTTAAAGTTATATGAAAAGAGATGACATTGATATCATCAATTTGTAGCCATCAAATCAATACTTAAATATCAATTAACTCTTAACGTCTCTTTCCCGTTGATTTTTTTTACAGACTATTAGAGATTGAAAGATATCTACAAATCTTTATCTTTAATTGAAGCTCGTGAGTTTGGGGGTTTGTTTGGCATTAAATGTCAGCAACTTTATCAATTGATGCTATGAAAATACGTGATATAACAATAGGAAAGAGACATCAAGTAAATTAATGTTCCTGGACTATTTATTTAGAACGCAACCCAGCCTGAGGTCCCGGTTATAAGTGAAAAGATATTGGTGAGTTGCAACTTGTTTGATAATAATAGTATTTACATATACATACAAGTGCTTAATTGATAAGATGTGGACTCTACGTATTAATGGTTTTTTGGCAGTAGACCTTCAATGCTTTTAGACCTTTACATCACAACTTCTCATGTCATAAAATTCAAGCTTCGAGGTTCTGCGGTTACACATGGCAAAAGAAGGGTACTACGTTCAAAACTACAATGGGTATGATCTATGTACAAGTTTATAAAATTAAATCGCTTAACTACTCGTGTCAAAATTCATTTAGATATATTTTTTTTTCTTTCTGTGATACATTCATCAATTTTAAATATTTAAGAACAATAAGATCACGATCATCGCTGAGCAAAATGGATTTTTTTTTTAAATTCACTCTATAGCTCATTATTTTGTTTGTTTCTATGGATCAAATTAATTGATCCAGCGCAGCGCTTTGGATAAATACTTTTAAACACAGTTTGGATCGCGCAATTGAAAAGAAAAAAAAATTGTTGCGGATGATCCTCCATAAATACTCAGCAGAAAGGGTCCTACGCAATTCGACAATCACAGTTGTTACATACGTTCAAGATTCAAAGAGGTACTGACATTTTCACGATGGCACCGCTCAAATGAGGTAATTCTCGTAAGTACTAATTGAGGTGATCAAGGAGGTGGACATTAGCGTTGCCACGATTAAATGTACCATATGGAATGCATAATCGTGAAAACTACTTTGACATCAAAGATCTTAAAGCCACCTAGTCAAAATAGTTTTATCTTAAAAAATAAACAAATTTTCTAAAAATTCTTTGCAGCTAAAAAAATTATATTTGAATAAATTGAGCAATGAAGTATTCCCTGAACATCATTCGTTTTGTCATACAAACTTAAATTAAAAATAGAACTATACAAATGAAGAATGTTCCTACTTCTTTTTGCATACAATGCATTTTTCTCTCTAACTTCAAGAAGGCAGAAATGAGGTAAGAAGTTATAATTTCTCTCGACCCTTAAAAATTATGGAAAAAGCAAATAAACAGGTTGTCAACTTTAAAATATTTTCTGTCCATACACTTTCACATCATTCCAACTTTTCACGGACAATTTCAACTATACATGAAGTCAGGTTAAAACTCTTTAGCTATGTACAAGTTTAAAAATTTCTCTCCGTCGGTAAAATGTTTACAAGAACAATCACTGCATATTAAAATTTTCAAAGAAAAATCAGAAAATTACTTAGTTAAAAGTTGCTAATTTTAACGAATAATATACTTCAACTGATTGACTAACAGATTGCACTGGCCACGATTGAGAAAGTTTTAGAAGTAATCAATATGGAATCATTTTAAATTATGAATCACAAGGTTTCTAACAAAATGTTTCTAACATTATAATTTATTCTAACAGTAACATTTAAATATAATTTGACTTCGTATTGACTGTAATAACAAATCAATAGACTGAAGCACAGCCAACATAAATTTGGATAAGTAATAAACTACTAAAATCTTATAAAAATGAACTATATTGCAGGGTGTATCCATCATTTTTAAGTCTATCACATGGATTATTAATGAAACTAATTATGTATCACAATCTTCCCTGACAAGAGAGAAATTTACCGTGATTCCTACATTTTGTCACCAGATGTAGGAAATAAAATGATTGCTAACAACAGGATGCTTGAGGTTCTATTGTTGTAAGAACTTTGCTTGAATATTTTATTTATTGTATATAAATTTGAGGTTGCCTTATCTGCCCTTTTCACCAAATGTATGGAATTTAAATGACTGTTAACACCCGGATGCTTGAGGTTATGATACATCTTAAAATACATCTCTGAATATTTTATTTATGGCAAATAAAACTGAGGTTGATTCGACAACTATTTGTCGCCAGATGCAGGAAATAAATTGATTGCTTACAACAGGATAATTGAGGTTTTGATGTTGTAAAAACTTTTCTTTATTTATTGCATATACAATTGAGGTTGATCTGCCTGAGTTGTATTTTTTATGATTTTCAGAAAAAAATAATCTAAAAGACTCCGTGGAAGTTTTGCGAAATACCTCTACTGTTATTATGTTTTTAAAAACATTAAGTCGTTAATGGGTAATAAGGGAATATAAGCTGAGTATTTATGGAGATAAAATGTTTGAAATATGACGCAAAACAGCGCAAATGCAGCAACAACGTACTAACATGTACACATCACCAAAAAAAAAAATATTATACATTTATAAAACACATTTCACATGATTTGGTTCGCCGTTCACACGTGTATGAATCGAAACATTTCATATAGACGACGAAATGATAAGCTAAACTAACAAGCTGATTATCACAGTGTCCCCAAAACATGTTTCTTCCTGTTCTGCCTATTAATTGCTTTCCTTTCAAAAACTTCCAATAATGAAACTCACAAACACTAATATAAAATATCAACATTATTGCTAGTGCAAATATCTATGACAAAAACTACTTAAAGCTGATGATTAACATGTTTTAACAAACTGGACTTTTTACATGTCACAAATTCCTGCCATGTTGTTTGTACGAGTTTAATTCATAAATTACTTACCGAAAATAGCACACGAACTTAAAGGAATTGTTTTTAAAATATTGTTTTTGTTTTCTATTTGGACATTTACGGTCGAATAATTTAGTGTAAAAATTCTAGAATTAATAAAACACAGTAAATATTACATTATTTACGCAGACAAACATGCAGTTGCGTAAAAATGTCAATTTAATATATGCGCACTTATGTACGAATATATTATATGACAGCGTACAAATAATATGTGTATTAATAATCACATCGAAAGAAAAACTAGTTGTAGAATATTCACATGTACAAAAATGCAGGAGACAAAAACAGAAATATCATTGAGCAAATAAAAAATAGGTAGTTTGGTTTAAAGCTGGGGATAAAAATATGTACATGTACATAAATACAGTTAAAACAAAAAAAAAAAAATCGTTATTTCAAACTTATAAATTTAACAACTTGATTATTGAAAAGATGCAATAAGTAAAATAGAGAATATTAATGTAAAATACAAAATCAGATTCGGGGAATTCTATTTGGTTTAATTCAATATATTTAAATATATCAACAAAGATTTGTCATACATGTTGATTAAATTAATATATATATGTATATATTAACAAATATATTAAACTCATTTTACACTTGAAGTATGGCAAAGCTTTAGAATATCACAAACATATTTGCCTTAGAACATTAATTAAGTCTAAAAAGTGCAACAAAGACCAAACATATACTGCAATAATAATTAAGGTTACCAACGAAGAGGAAACAAAACACGAGTTAATTATTAAATATGTGTGAAAACGTCTAACAATATTATTCTTTAAGACTACAGGGAGAAATAAATAGAGGAAAACATTAAATTATACTTTTTTTCTAACAACATTTATTTTGATATTTTTAAATGTCTTAACTGTTTTATGCAGGTTATTTCTTTTTTTTTTCTTCATATATATTATGTTTTACAGTTCTACAATGAAATATTTCTTTTAAAATTCATAATACTTTTTTTTCATATTGAATCCTAGAATTTCTCCATTGTTCGAGGATAAAATATTAGTAAACTATTTATTTTGTCATCGTCTCTAAAAATTTTAATATTGTAGGAAATATCTGAATAACTGCAATTTAAAATAAAAGTAACAGTAAATCGAAATTTTGTCAATTTCTACAATGGTTATTAAATGGTCAAACATAACAAAATAAGGTGTTTAAAAAATTTATTTCTGGTTAATATTAATTAAATTCTGTTATTTTATTTTATTAAACTTGTGATAATTACATAAATTTTGTTTAAAATATTAAAAAAATATAATTAAAAGCCATGGATAAAATTTGGGAGAAGATGATTTTTTCTAGATTCAAAAGTTTTGAGGTAAAATCTGGTGATTAATCTTATAATTTTTAATACTTATTTATTTATTTTTTTACATATATTACGTCTGGTGTTTTTTTAAAGAGGATTTACTAAAATATGCTTGTTTCGAATATTGTATTTAAACGTTTAAACATACATAAGCAGGTTTTTATGGCTCCAAAAATGAAAAACCATTTCTGACTGATCTCTTCAGTTTCGCCAACAAGTTAGCAAGATTGAAGGTTCCCTTTTGGCTTTTCACATATAAGGTGGCTATTTATTGTCAATAAAAGCTTTGACATAGTACCGCTTTAACAAAGAGTTCACTGTCATGTACCTCTCTAAGTAAACAGGGAAACAGAACTTCAAAATGAATCTTAATGTTACTATAGTTGTTATTGAGAACTGGGTAGTGGAGTTACTTCGTAAGTTTATAAATGCCATGCATATTTGATTAAGATTAAATTTCAAAACCTGATATCGGTGACGTTTGTACTTTTTAACCAGTTTTATGCATTTATTATTTCATTAAAATATCGTTGAACTAAGAAGTAAAATATACTAAATTTCAATTTCAAAACACTGAATGAAAAAAAAAATAATCCCAATCTAACTCCATGAAAGTAAAAATTTTCAAATAAATCCTAAACAGCGTAAAACAATTATTTTGCTTTAAAATTAAACTGAAACCCTAAGTTGACGTTAGATAATTGAAAAGTTCAAAACTATTTGTTAGTTTAACGTTCGTTTTAGTTGAGACAAAGAAGAAAAGTAATGAGAAAATCTAACTACAAAATAAATGTGGAAAAAGCCAGATTTTTAGCAGAATCTCTGGAGGGAAAACTATAAAAACTCATTCTAAAGAAATTATTTCCCTAAAGGCGGAAACAATGTCCCTCTGTCTTACAAGCAGTTAATTATTTAATTGTTGTCTGAGCGAAGTGATCTGTTGCACAGACAAGATTAATCAAAAGATTTGCATTCGAAAAGACGAAGACAAAAGACTGTGCGCATCCCTTAGTACATCTCGATTTGCTCCAAATAGAAAAGTCCTTTTATGAAGAACATCTTCTCTGGTTCGGTCCCTAACTAACACGAAATTAGAAGCAAGCCACAGTAACAAGAGAAGAGAAAATCTACTTTTGTTTCAGATAATGACTCTCAAAGTCTGAAAACGTGGAATTTGCATTACAATGGATTTTTCCCAGGGTAAACTTGTTTACTTTTTGAAACAGCGCCTTTTAAAATGAGAACACCACTTATCATCTAACCAGTTGTGATCAAGTATCAAAGTAAAGAAAATGAAGAAGGCTTTCTAATAACACCTTTTCTTTTCATATTACTTAACGAAAAATCATTTCTAGACGGAAAGGATGATTAAAATCACTTTAACGACGCCATCTTTTTTCATTGCCTACAATTCATTTTCAAAAATCATTTTATTTTTTAATTAAAATTTATGAGGACTCACTTTGGGGGTGGCCCCTTCTATCCTAGTTTAATTTTAAGGGATACTCTTTATTATCTCTTGGGAGATATATTTTAGAAACGTAATGTTAATGTTTCACTCTACCTTAAACCTCACGTTTCTTAAGATCGTTTAATATCCTATATCATAATAGCTAGCTAAGTTTACTATTCGTCACGCATAGTAATTATGAACGTGATGGTTGCTAACACGTTTAGCAAATACATTTTCCTTAAGCATTAATCGTTTCGCACACCCACCACTGTACTAAACTTCTTCTAAGACAATCTTTGAACGCTTGTTTTATAAACAGGGGTTATGTTCACACCAAACCCATCTTCGCATCAATTACATATCTAACAGAAGAGGTGGGGAAACAAAAAGTTTTTTTTCTTCCAAGTAAAAAATTGTGCTGCTGACTATATTACCTCTCCCCAAAATTTGCATAGATAAAATAAAATAGCGATATAGCTTAAAACGGTGTCAAGTAACACTCATTTTTATCGAAAGGCATTAAAAGAGCTGGATTGAACGCAACGGAATGAATTTGAGAAAAAAAAAAATTATGAGAGATGGATCGTGATGTAGAAGAAATTAATAGTCGCATTTGGGGATGTAAGAAAGCTTCTGGAATGCTTTTAAAGCGGCCAAATAGTTGCAAAATGCATGGGTTATTCTCAAAATTTATCTGGTCACAAGGTGGCAGTACCCAGTAATTTTGAAGTTTGTAGTTGCAAGTCGCCTTCCCTCAATAACCTGTTATTACGCATGGTAAAACGTTTTGATAGATGATATACAAAGTTTAAACAGTAACAAAAATGATCGAATTAAATATTCCTTAAAATGTTTTTAAAGTTTTCCTTCTTAGGCGGAAATTTTTTCCTCAAAATCTTATTATTTTGTAAAATATCTGAAATCCAGCCTTCTTCAACTTTGAAGGTACTAATTATTCTAATGGTACTTTTATCTAACTATGGTACGATAAGCTACAACTAATTGGCCAAAATGAATAAACTGCAAATAACTTACTCTCAAAAAGCAATTTTAACTTCACTTTTAATGCTCTCAGAACAAGTCGAATGAACTAGAGAAGCTTTGCATTAAGAGTACTTAATACCGATGCAAAATTCTCAAAAGCTCTTAGGTTTAAAAGCGCGAACAAAGAAATCGAGGATTAAAACTTTTTAATGAACCTTTAACTTTTTATTCGATAATCGGAAGGGGAATTGCAGATTAAAAGAGTTAAATAGCGCCATTCGAAGAAAAAAAAAACAAGCTCTTTTATTCAATTCGCAATATTTCATGCTACGAAATAGGTATTAAAGATTTGTTTAGCTAATTGAATATTTTATACCTTAAATAACATAGTAATTTTTTTTTTATTCAAAAGCAATTTATTAAGAGTAAACAGATTATGAGTTTCCCTTGAGAGGTACATGGCAGCTTGAATATTTTGTTAGAAGCTAATTGGCATAACTAAAATTTTTAAGGAATTATTATAAAAAGGAAACAAACAATTTTGCATTCCTTCTAATACATCCAATCCAGATGAAAGCCCGCTTCAACGAAAATTCTATGTACAAATCACTCACGTCATTCAATGGTCATTCAATCATACAAGGAAGGGGGAAATTGGCATTAAATGCCCATACCTAATCCATCTTCTGTTTAGACAGTGTTTGACACTGTAGATACAAGTACAGGGATTGGGGTTTTTGAGGGTATATATGCATGGAGTACTTGAATCTTAAGTACAGTCCTAGCTTAGAGGTCAAACTTGTTTAACAAGACTTAACATCTTAGCTGAATAGATATCTGCTCGTTAGCATCTAATATAAAAGAATGACTTCCAATATCCCAATTTAGAAATTCCTTTTAGCTGATAGTTTATTGAAATAAAATCTAACAATTGAAGAATAATTAAACAAGCTATCACATTCATATTCATTTAACAGAACATATTTATTTATTTTTATTATTTATATTAAATATTATTTAATTTATATTAAAACTATAACGGGAGAGATTTTAATTGCATTAAAATATATGAAAAGTAAGAAATTTTTGTTTCAACTAAAACAGATCAGTACAATTTAGAATAATAGATTTTGAATTTCAGAAATAATACACGTACAATTTATGAGCATAATTTCTCATAAATGAATAGCAATAAAGCTTTATTCCTCTTTGCAAGAATTACTGAGTTTTCTCGTTAACAAGCATTTAATAAACAATTAACTTAAATCTAAAAGCCTCATAAAGCTAACTTCTTTAATAAATAAAAAAATAATAATAAAGTCACTAAATCCATTGATATGACACAATAAAACCTAAATGAGTCAAGTATTATTCAAAAGGTTTATGAAAAGAGATGTTTCATATAACTCCCTTTGTTTATGAGATCAATTAAAAGACTACGCCTTTTATAAACAATTAAACAAAACGACTTCAAAAGAAATTATTTGAAATTCACTAATAGCTATAAAGAAATAAAAAGCATTGAGAAAATAGGCTTTAAAGTGATAACTTTTAAAAGCAAGGCACTGTAGTATGTTTGAGATAATATTTACTACTTATTTATAATGATATTAAACAAAACCTCTATACTGAAATAATATTCCTGAGAATTTACTTCTTTTAAAATAAAAATGGAAATAAGGGGGTGAAAAAGACAACACGTCAGACTTTTAAAGGCTAAAATCAAAACTTAATAATTCCCACTGCAATAAGGGACAGGAAAATATTCCAAAAAAATCTATTTTTACAGGAATGTATTAAGGGGTTTATATTTAAAATATCACCTTGGGCATACGACACTTTAATAAAAGTGTTTCTGGTATCAGAAAGTGTTTTTATATCTACGAAAAAAAAGTCACACAGATTTCAAACACAAACATTTCTGATGATATCAAATATATGATGAACAGATCCATTAAAAGTGAATGTATCAATTCACAAGTTGTTTCAATTAAAAGAGAACAGTTCAAATATATTCGGGGGCACAATATGATATTTAAAATGACACGAGCCATTTTAATTGTATTTCAAATATCGTAAATCACAGTATCAATCTTGTCTATGGTCAACAATTTTCTTTCAAAAATATAACTCATTTAAAACTGTAAACACTGGGTATTTGAACTGTTGTGAATTGACATGGTAAAAAAAAATCATATGTTGTCTAAAATGGTTTTACCTGGAAACACGAAACACATTACAATTATTATTACAGCTCTGATAATTACATACACACACAAAATACATATACACACAGGCATTGGGGGCTTAATTCTTCAATGTGCCATATTTTTATATTAGCTTGTACACAATCAGAGAATGCTATATATTTATATTATTTATATATGTATAGATATTTATATATATACATATATATCTTTTTTTTCTGGAAGTTAAAACTTTGTTCGTCTTTATTTGTGACATTTTAAAGTAAAGTTTAGCCCATCAAAATTATATTTATGCTACGAGAACCAGATTTTATCTTCCTTAATACTGGCCATAATTTAGATAAATAGAAGAATCCAATGCCACATATTTAATGCTCAGTCAGACACAGATAAAAAAATGCCTTAAAAAAAACAAGTGAAAAGAAACATTCTCTCGTGTAGAAATATGAAAAATCTCAATAGAAACACGATTAAGAGTAACAGTTCTGTAATAAACAAGTAACAATATTTCACCACACTCACAAAATTAACATCAAAGATAAACGATTACGATTAATTGATTTAGATAATACACTAGAATAATATACAGATGATGAACGAAACAAAATGAAGCAACATTTTGTTTCTGATGAAAAACATACAAATTTGAGGTATTCAGAAAATTTCCCAAACTAGCTCTATTACCTACTAGTTGCAATGAAAATCAACGAGTCTACAACATCTGAAGTCTTTAAAAGTGTATTTTTTTGTGTGAGCAAATAGTAGATTGGATTACCAGAAATTATAGTTATTTGGACATCGAAGAATACAGACGTGATTTAACACGTGAAATGAGTTTGATTTTCTTTATCATTCTCACAATTTGCTTATATTTTGAAAAAAATCCCTGATGACATTTGATGGAATAAGCACCACTGAGAAAAAATCGTAAGAAGCTGATGTTAAGCAGCCTGAACGAAAGAAATCACTGATGAATGTATTTAAAACAGTCAGAGTAAGAAAATTATTGTTTTCCAGCGATTTATTCTGAAACATTGAAATAAACAACCTTATTTTTTCATATATTTTATGATATTACTTTGATGATTTCTTTCGTTAAAGACTGTCTCGTGTGCAAACTGTTGCATTTCTCTTGTTATTAATAATTTATTTAGCACTGAATCATGATGAAAACTGTATACCACACTTTACTTAAAACATTTGAGCCATGAAAAATATTTTTGCATGTTGGAATTGATGCACTTACAGTAAAATGTTAAGTTTTGAATGATAATACTATGTCTATATGATGAGGTATAAGACAGGATACAAAGAGAATGTCCTACACAGATCTCACTATTGCAAGAGACATTAAAATTAGCATTCCCACTTATTCTTTTAAGAGAGTTTGGATAACAAATTTAGTGAAACTTAAAGACAATACTCTTAATAAGAAACTTGCTAACAGTATAAACGGATACAAATTTAAAAATGACTGAAATGAATAAACTGTTTAAGTATTGGCTAAACTGGAACGCACTCTCTAAGATTCAAGGCACCATTATGAGTCTGATGGACTTTCCCTCCGAATCACAGGTGCGAAATCACAAATATTTTTGTTTTGATGGCAATGATATATATTTTGAATTTTTCAAATGATTTCTCATCACGAGATGGAGAGAGTGAGGGAAAGAAACAGTTGCCAATACTTAAATTTTAAAATGTCAGCATTTTATATCTGATCAAGTTAATTATGTAAAAAGAAGTGTGGAAAGGCTAACTTTTGCCTCATATTCAAGCTTCTTGGCATGCAAAGTTAACATCACGTTCAAACTCATTAAACCTGAATTATGTTTGTAATATATATATATATCTCCAAGAGCTTGTGACTCGTTGATGTGAGTGATATACATAGAGACGTCTTTCAGCAAACATCGCATAAAAATGTAAAATTGTCGTAAAACACAACGCTAAAAATTCACCGGGAATTAAGAAATCTGAGGTAAGAGTCCATCAGTCCGAGACTTAAATGAGGAATTGAGCTTTCAAAGGTTCACTGATATTGGTGTAAATTAGTATTTGGATGGTATACAACAAATTCACAGATTCAACATTTTACGAATAAGAAAAGACAAACTTTGAACGCTCTTCCCGTGAAAGAAGATTTCAGTCCTCTCGAACTATTGATGTTTTTCATTGTTGTTGACTTTTATCTTTCATCGTTATTGGATGCTCTCCTCCACTCATTGTTGGCATTGATGCATAGTTCCGAATTTGATGAAGAGAAATAAGTTGATTGGGGAAAGAACTATGGCTCTGTTTAACTTCCATTGATCCCATTGGGTTTGTGCTCTTTGGAAAATTAATGGGTTCATAAGGGAAATATGAGGTACGTGTTGCTGACGGCATGGACAGCTGAGGTCCTGAAGAAATAGGCAACATTCCCGACTGAATGGGAGTGAATGCTGAAGTGTTCTTACTTGTGGGTGGATGATGACCTTGAGTCATAGATGAAGTATCATATTGGTTTTGACCTAAATGCGAGCCTAAATCGTGGTCCCTGCCGTTTGTATGATTGGCACTATTTGCCACCATCTGCTGCTGTTGTTGTTGTTGCTGTTGTTGATGGCGAGGATCCATATGGAGTCTCGCATGATGGTCATTCATGCTATTCTGAAGACATGTTTCTGAGACATGCGGATGCAGATGATGAGAAGGTGGAGACATGGGTGATCCCATTGAAGAAGGATCTCCCATTCCATGATGAGTTTCGGAAGATACCGAGGAGGCAGTTTTTGTCCAATAATTGTCCGTGGGCGCTGGCCCACGAAGTGATTGATTGGAAGGTATATTGAGGTTGTTATTGTTGGTTAAAGGTGGCAACGGACGTTTTTCAAGACGGTCAGCATGCTTCTGCATGTGCTTGGCAAGATAAGTTTCCTGCGTATATGACTTCCCACAAAATTGACAAATATGTGTTTTGAGATGTTTAGACTCTTTGTGCTTTGGGATGTGCTCCAATAGACCCGCTTCATCAGCGAAACATTTGTAGCAGCTGTTGCACTTGTAAGGTTTATCTGTCTGGTGACAACGAGAGTGAGATTGTAAATTGGACAGTTGCGAGAAGGCCTTGTTGCAGCCAGGAGCCCGACACTTGTAAGGCTTATCCCCCGTATGTGTCCGGATATGTTGTTGAAGATGGGACAGCTGAGTGAACTTCCTCTGGCAGATCTCGCATCGATATGGCTTGATACCCAGGTGGATACGCGTATGCTGAGACAGGTATGAGGAGTTGGCGAACGCCTTGGAGCATTGAGAGCACTTGTACGGTTTGGCCTCACGCATGTGGATTTGAGTGTGTAGCTGCAAATCTGCCTTGGACCCAAAGATCTGGAAAGAGTAGAGAGGGATCAGTCACGTTTCGTGATTTTTTTCTTTTCTGAAGAAATTATCATTTATTTTGGAAAACTGGCCTACCACACCATGTAAAGGCAAAATCGAAATATTTTTTTTCTTTAAAAATTTGAATAAATTTGAAACGGCATGACAGGCCGCCAAGATTTAAAATTTAAGCAAAATATATTTTAATTTTTAATATTATGGGCTCAATTTTAAGTCACGAATTTTGTTGGCCAAGGCAGGCAGCAGCTAAACACTTTGGAGGTGGCCTCACAGGGCATGGTGTGGCTGTGGCAATGAGCGTGAACCGGATTGGCCTCGCGTGGCCACAGTAATGCCTGGAGGGGTACACACTCCTGAAGCACTGGGCCACGAAATTCCTTCAATCCGGTGCACGGCAGGAAGAAAGAAGAAAGGAAAGGGAGAAACAGAATTAAAAGACACAGGGACACTAAAATAGACAGCAAAACACATCATACGCAAAATATCATGTTAAAAACATATAAATCGGTTTATTCATAATATATGGTAGCAAAATCTGTTTTTTATAGTCATATATTAAAAAAATATATACACACAGTATTATACACATAATAACGTGTTCCGATCTATTTATAATATAATATATATAGATCGAATCATGTTTATGATAAAATTTATATTATAATCAAATTTTAATTTAGTTACAATTTAAATTAATATAGCAAATGAGTAATACACGTATTTAAAAGTTACATACAGAATTTAAAAAATATTTTAGTACAAGTGTGTTTTATTCAGTCGAATTAGAGTAAGGATAAAATGAAATTACTAAAGATATTTTTCCGATTCTAAGGATTAAAAAATTATGTTTCTTAATACCAATAGAGGCCGCCACAAGTACTTATCTCTTTTTCAAATAAAGAGAGATTCGAAAAGAAAAGAAAATAATTTCGAGAAAAGGAGAAGCTTTTTCATCAGAATTCCCACGTGCTCCAGATTTTCTCCTAACAACACCAATTATTCGAATTTACGAAGAATACGTGCATAAAAATAAACCACTGCAAATCTTTTAGAATTCCTAGTAAAATTTTAAATGAAAAATAAGAAAAGTAACTCAGACAAATACAGCAGATTTTAGAAAACTGGTCATTTAATTTATCCATTTTTACAAATCTGAATATAATAAAAAAAATGACACTTTAATACAGATAAAGTATACTTACACATAAGATAAATTAATTTAATTCATTTTATTTAGGATACATAACAAACTCATTTTTATTTCATGCATCTAGCGAACTCAATGCTTTCTTATTACTTAAACAATTCTCTAGAATCAATAGTATTGATGAATTATGGGAAAAATAAATATTTTCGTCTTAAAATTGGGGAAAATATCAGTAATGTATTTTTAACCAAATATTTACACCCGGTAGAAATTACTGAAAATTTTTGAATGAGAAAATGCAATATAGATTAATTTGGAAATCGAATAATTTGAAATCGCAAAGCATCTGTTTTCTAATGTTGAAGAATAATTGAAGGGTTAGGGGAAAAATAGTAATAAACCACTCTTTTTCCTATGTAAGTTTTACAGAAAATTGCACCCCAGTATTTTTTCCACCTATGTAAGTTTTTGAAATTCAAAGTAGATAACAATGCAATACATAGAAACATTTTATTGCCGACATTGAAAGTTATATTATTCATCAAAATTACTCGCTCAAGCTATTTAAAAATGTCGCTTTCGACCCAAAGGATTTAATTTAATTATACATTATATACTTTAATTAAAAAAATTGTTATTATAAAAGCTGTAGAGATTGCTTCCATATTATTGTAGCCCAAAAACGTGTTACTCAAAATGTACTAAATCTAAAAACAATAGTTTAAAATTAAAAATAAGAAAAATTAATAAAAAAAAACTAATCTATATTTATGTATAGAAATTTTTTTTTATACTTTATTTAACATGAAGCTTGATCAGTTTTAATTATCCATTAATAAAATAGGCGTCGAAGTTAAGCTTTATTATATCCGGCTTTTTTTCAGAGGAATTCCCTTAAGTTAACACCGAAGGTGTAGAAAAATTTTTGGTTCAGAATTAATACTAGTTTTTTTTATGATCTATGTAAAAAAAGCAAAAAAAAAAAAAAAATTTAAGATGAATTATTCAGAAAAAAAAAGTTTATAAAAATAAAAGAAGCATTATTGCATTATTTCACCTAAAATAAAATAAATTTAAAATTCCGGACGCGTTATTTGTTCAACTGATACCCATTACAGACTTATTTTCTTTCACCTTTATTGCATCAAGTTTAACTTTTTAGAGAATGCTGCGCCACTGTTCTTTCGCTAGACCCCAACTAATTACTTTAGTGTTATTTGCGAATTTTATTTTTTTTTATCCCCTCCCACTTTTTTTTTTATACTAAGCAAGTTCATCCTATTATTGGTATAGTGTGAAGAGAGAGTAAAGACGCTGGTGTAAATTATAATTTGCCTACGCCCTGAAGGCAATAACTTCAGTCGGCGCTAATATCAATTAGTCAGAGGCAGATTAATATTTCCAACACGAGCTTTTGCTTTTGAACGGAAGCTTTTGTTTTATTATTAGCCTGGGCATTTTTTCAAGCTCCCCTAACTGTATATGGGGATACAAATCTTATTTTCTTACTACCCTCCATACTTTCTTTATTACGCTGGGTCTATTTGTTATTAAAATATGATTAGCCTTTGAAAAAAAAAGTTTAAATGTTCGTAATTACAAGAACAGTGATTAATTATGTCAGCACACAAAGCGAAATTTATTTAGGCAAAAGATTACGAATATTTTTTTTAAAATTTGCTTTCAATTGTTATTCTCTTTTCTCACACCCCTCTCCCCAAAAAACTAGGAGAAAATATAGTTTTTTTATTTCCTTTTATACATAATATGTTATTGTTTTTCCTTTTGGTTATTCCCTCTCTTACAGTTTTCTTTTGGCAATTTTTTTCTTACTTCTCTAGCTAATAGATTTTATGAAAAAATTATCCATTAAAAAACAAGTTATAAATCGCGCCCCTCGTAATATGATATGTACACGGGGGAGGGGGATTTACCGTTTATTCTTTACGCCACTTCCTCCCTAAAGGGACAGAAAATTCTCCTCCAGAGGGATTTAAAAATATTTCAAGTCCCAGCGATTATTTCGTCTGCTCTTTATAACTTCATTTCAAAGAAAAATTAAAAAGTGTTTACACATTTTCAAGTCAAGAGAAAGAGAAAAGATGAATGATGAAATTAACAACCACTTTAAGTTAGGTTAAGGTTTGTAATAACAGATATTTTCCTGACACTTTTCTTCAAAGTAAAATTGTCATGTTATTTTTATTTGAACTAGTCAATTTTAATCCTTGGCTATTTAAGTAACAAATAGCTGCCGTTTGGTTTTGTTCGTTGTTTTAAAACGCTGCAGAGCGAATCAATGCAAATTTGCTTCTCTTGTATAATAATAAATTTTAAAAAGATGTTCTTACATTTATATTAAGTATAAACTACAAAATTTATAACGGTACAATCAAAATCCAAGAAATTTCTTAAGGAAATTAAGAAATCACGAATTGATTGCTAATACGATTTATTTATTTTGTTTGATTTGCTTTACTGCATCAAATTCACAAACATACTTTACTTATTAACAAATAAGGCACATTTGTTACATACATATTACAACACAAAATTAGGATGTTAGTTCAGGTGAACATAAAATTAAAATCTTTAGATCTTGTTGCTGTTTTAATGCTGTTTATATCAGTATCAGTTCCAATATTATAAGAGAATTCATAATAATTATTTTTCCAAATTTCTTTCTTATATACTTCCCAATAATTATTTTAAAACAGTGAGTTTTTTTTTCTTTTTTTTCTTTTTTGCATTAAGGAAAACGCTTATTGAAGAAGTAAGTTCAAACAATTTTTATTTTTTGTTTTGTTGCATTGTAGCTACTATCAAAAAGCTTTGTTGTATTGTACAACACAATCAAAATTTTACCTTTAAGTTTATTTTTACACACCTATGTTTTGTATTTACTACATTTATGGGTATCTAAAGTTGTCTGCAATTTTGAACTTAATTTTCATTCTCAATAACTCATTTGAGCCTATATCTAGGTTATATTTGTCACATCGGTAGCTATGGCAGCATTTGAAGTAACATTCATAAAATTTAAAACAGCTAAGCTTTAGTGTTAAATAACGTAAAAGTAATTTGAAGTTAAATGTTATAAAAACAATACTATTATTTTTTTTAAAAAAATAACATCGCATTTGTTATTAAAAATCTTAAAAATGCGTACAACTTGGCAATTGACAATTGTCTGAACTTAAAACTTTATAATCTGCTTTGTAAAACATTTCCAGTTAAAACGATTAACAAACTTAATTACACTTAAGTAAGTGGTTGGTCATTGCCGTAAATCACAAGACAATGGCTTAAAATTTTTTTAAATGTAGAAACTAGATTGCAGAGTTTTCCTTAAATTTGAAATGCAGAGGGAGGCGTTAAACGCGTTTTATGCCATAGGGACGACGAAATTCAAGCTTACCATAATGTTGATGGAACAACATTAAGTAGTTCTTATCAAAACAGCTTTCAAGCAGTTCTCTTGGAACAAAAAAAAAAAAAAAAATAGAGGATGGAAGATGAAGAATAGAGAAAAGCCTGGTACTCGCTTTAGCACACGGAAAGCGAGGAAAAGAGTAAGAAAAAAAAATAAGAATAGGTGAGGATAAAAAAGTTAGACATCGTAAGAGAGCAACTTAAGTTAACCATTGATGGATTAATCCCTCAACAATGCAAGCTCTAGGAGCAATACAGCTAAGGGACTTGCTATCTTAGCGCCCACAACGAGTTTGGTAGAGCAGACCCTTGAAAAGATAGCGCTCTACCTAGAGACCGAGTACGATGACAAAAGAGTAATGAGACATGACGAACGATAGGCTTAATCAGGGCGCACAATATCCTTTTC